AAAATCGATCACTCAAAAACATATTCATAATCGAATAATCTGATGGTCTCTATTTTCATGCATAGTGAAAAATATTCTAGTTCTCGCATCTTGAATCATAAGTCATTTATTACACGTACGAGAAAAAAAGAATTTGTCAAATTCAAAGAGAAATATTGTTGAAAATGGAAAGATGTTTATCCTTTTTTTACCTGTTCAACTATGTCTTAAGTTTTATTGTACTAAAATTGTAGAATATACTTGATATATCTCTTCGATTTAAAATTAGATTGCATTATACATTCTCCTTGCAAGATGTCAGATGAAAATCGTATAGATCTATTATACGTATAGTGAATATCTCGATTTGAAACTGTATTCAAATATCTTCTGAATATTTTTTAAATTTATATTTAACTTCAATTTTTTTTTTCTTAAAGTTTGATACCATGCCAAAGATATGGACACGTTTTCTTGTTTTATTCTTTCTTTTGTTATTTTGAAACATGATTTAGACTACATAATAACAGCGGTAGGTAAACGAAAGAAGAAGGAATGATGCGCTATAGTGTAGAAGAATATAATAGAATCATTTTTGTATAACAATCATTCGAAAATGCCCAGACACTTCATAATCCAGACATGTTATATACACACACTTTTGTGTTTCGACATTTCTATTGCATCATGAACAAATATATAATGTGATACCTTAGAAATCTGTTTTATACTCTATCATTTTGATGAATTTAATATGACATTATTAGACTTTCGTTCAATTTCATAATGTAAATGGGAGATAATCAAATCATTGAAAATTCAATAAATAAATGTAGTTCCATGTTTACTCTCTTATGCGATAAGAAAGATTAGAAATATTCATTAACATAATATAAACGGATAAAAAAATACTTGTAGTGAATGATATTAAGGTAAGATAGCATCAAATAGTGATAATGATTCATGTACATATTCGCTAGTGTTAATTTGCGTTTACAGACATAATGTTAGAATTGCTATTGTTGTTTTCTTTTTGAAGACTTTTGGAATACATGAAACGCACTCTCTCTATATAGAGTTTGTAATTATTAATATTTTTAGACCTCTTTTGTAGAATAAATATATAAAAATGCTACAGTAATAAAAACTAAAACAAGATCTATGTAAATCTAGAATATTCAAAAGATCTCAAAAAAATTATTGTCATTGTTATACGACTACAGAATAGTTGTATGACCAAAATCATAAAATAAGATCGAAATGAAAAGTAAAATATCTTTATTTATTTTTATAGAGCACTTCATAATTGCTTCCATTTGTATTTAATTTTGCCAATGTTTACAATATTATAGTTTTTCTCACAATAGTTTTGATAATGAATTTTGTGTTGGTTTTAGTCGTTTTCATAATAGAAAATGCTACTACAATTAATTAACCGATATAAATATACTTATTAGAAAATTTAGAATTTTCTTTTTTTATCCTTGTCAACGAGTACGAATGTCTCATGGCACCGTATGTATAATAAGTAACAAATATGTAGATTTGTTGGGTATCAAGGACGATAGGATGTTGAAGTGGGAGAATTATTTAAATAAAAAGTTGTTCTATTCTCTCACTTTTTCTCTCTCTGTCTCCTTCTCACGAACGATTGTCTTTGCACCAACTGTGTGTGTTTTACATGCACATACAAATTGACCTTTTCTTTTCGTTTATTAAAACAAATTTCTTCTTTCGAATAGGTGTGTAAACAGATCATAGATAGGTATGTCAAACGAGATGTTTCACTTAAGATTAGAATGAATATAACTGTTGTCATTGAGAGACAGTCGAGTCGGCTAGGATCTATCTAATAAAAAATAATAGTTAAGTGGTTCAAAGTTATTTTTCGAATAAGCAACACCTTTCTTTACACAAATACGTTCAATATTTCACATACAATCAACATTTTTATTTGATTAGAACTAATATTTGTTATGGATATGTAGAAAGAATAGAGTCGAGTCTCTTTTGCTTGTATTTCAAATTAAAAATGTTCAACATCTATTTGTTCCTGATACCATTCAACTTTATAGTTGAATAATAACAACAACAAACTTAAGAATCAAGGTATTTGCTGTTTGTATTTGTTTTTTGAGGTTGGATTCTCCTCTTCTTCATTTATCTTTTTTTTTTCTCTTTTACCGTTTTGTTCAATATATCATTACGAACAATACCGCTACTATGCATCATTGAACTGAATAATAGTAAAATTAAAATAGAAAAGAAAACTTTCACCTATTATGGGATCTTCAACAAGTTGTAACATTTATCTCAATCGATTCTTATCTCTATCATATCATTAAATTTCAAATTTGAGTTTAATTAATAAGTAGACTTCACTCCTAAACTTGTACACAATGGGGTGTCTTTGGTATTTACGTGCGCTTGATAAAGTTTTATTAGTAGTCTCTATGAGAAAAATTAGATGATGTTGTTTTTGTTGTATAAATAAGAAGTCCTTTGTGGGAACGAAAAACATGTCAGTTCGGTGACTAAGATCTCTAAAATTTAATTTTTACGCTTCTCTATTTCGTACTGTTAATCGATCTCTTAACTTGTACATGTTTTATCCATGTCTTATATATGTCAAAGGGCAGAGTAGTATACATATAAAAGCATTAATCGTATAGTTGACTTTATGCACAAAATGAAGTGTATTTCTTTATCTGTGGATAAAATCAAAAATAAATATGTAAAAAAAACTCATGATCATAAAAATAAATTGAAAAAAAAAAGGTATAATATTTACCATTTTCTTTCCTTTTCAATAATTTAATGTTATCAGAATTGAGCTGTTCTGACAAAAAAAATTGTTACTGTTTAAATCATTCAAATGTTATTATTTAATGCGAAGGTAAGAAAAAAAAACTACTTAAAGAAGGTTTATGGAAAAATTATTTAAAATTTTTCATTTATGACTGTTGAACAGACGTTTGTGTGTCGTTTAACACGCTAAGAAATTTGTTTTATGTCAGAAAGAGCAAAATGTTGCGGAGTTTTCTTACCTTTTATCTGACATATTTTTCTGTGATTTTTGTACTGTATTTAAGAAAAAATGAGAAAAAAAAAACGATGTCAGAAAAGTTATGAATGGAATGGAATTTTGTTTCTCTTGTTATCGCTTCTCAGATCTCAAATAATTCTGACTGTGAAAGTAGCTATAATAATAAGGCAACCCTTTCTCACAGAATAATTGATGTCTAGACGACAAAGTTCTATTTTACTCTTTTTCTATCTACTGGTAGTTATGTTTTTCCTGTTTAAATTGCTTCTACAACAACAGAACTTCATCAAAACTACTGATACATTTTGTACAGAAAACATAGCTAAAACACAAAACCCGTCCTCTGCATGTAAAAGTCAAAAATTTATTTTTTCTGCTCGGAAAAGTAGAAAATAATGTAGTCATGTTTCAAAGGAAAAAGAGATTTGGGCTAGAAATAAATCGAGGAGGTATGATTTGTCTGGGCTATTCTAATCAATTAACAATATTGTTTTTTATGTAGCTTAATTTATTCTGAATTTTCTTCTCTTTTCGTAGTAGATGAATAGTAACGAGATGTTTATTCGTTAGGATAAAGGTGTCCAATGGTTAGATTTCTTCTAACACCTTAATCAACAGTTATCAGATTTTTTCAAATATACCCTTGAGGCTGCTGTACATATGTTGTTATATTCTCTTGATACGTTTGTCTAATTATATTTTAATGTATATAATCTGAACTCAACACATTTAAACGTGTAACATAACATTAACAAGTAAGACACACACCTGTCTGTTGACAGCATTTTTTTTCTTCATTACCAACATGTTATCCTTTCATATGAGAAATAAAACTTTAATCTCTTTGTTTAAACATAAAATTTCGTTTTTAAATCTCTCACTCAATCATCAACATCTTGAAAAGAGAAACATTTTTTTTTTTTGTCGATGTGAATATAAACTCGATTAGAATAGGTAATCCCCTTAGTACAAATCTTCTTGTGAAATTGAGCTCATTTTCTTCTTGAATAGACAACAGATGAATGTGTGTTTAAGTACCGATATCAGAAAGAGAGAGTGAAGAAAGGCTAAATTATTATTGTACAAACAACGCGATTGTTTACTTGTGTATGTCAAGTATATCATAGAAAGAGAATGAGAGAATAATATTCTATAAATCGATAAAAGACTACTGTCGTTTGAAAAGACATTAAAAGAAATGAGAAAAGAAAAGGAGAATATGTATTTTTACTTGATTGCTTTTTAAAAACCTGTACTATATGAGAAAGAATCTTTTTGGAAAGAATTGTCTGATATCAGTCGTTTCGTTTAAACTTGTATTTTTAATTCTGATATTTTATTTTACATAACCACGTCATAACTGTTCGCACGAATTTTATTTACAGGTAACGCTTCATACGCTTATAGAACAGAGAGTATTTCATAAAGTGTATTTTTATAGTAGACTGTCACTATTAGGCAAGCATTCACTAATTGACTAAGGATTTTATACTTTTTCCAAAACCTCGCGTTTCATAAATTGCTTCGTTAAAAATTTTCTGACTCGGTAAGAATGTAGAGCAAACATTTCTCAAAAGGTGAGACGTTGAACAGCTCTGTATGATTTGTTTTGAGATTTTGGCAGCGATGCTTCCGTAAGGGACTAATTGAGTACTCGATATTCGTTTACTACTCGATTATGTGTTCTTGAGGTAGCGATGCCGAAAACTCAAAACAAATCATATAGAGCTGTCCGATCTCTCATTTTTTAGAGAAATGTTTATTCTACATTCTTACCGAGTCAGAAAATTTTTAACGAAACAATTTGCGAAACGCAAGGTTTTGGAAAAAGTATAAAATCCTTAGTCAATTACTCGGTGCATACTTAGTCCTTATCTGCTCAATAATTCATCCGACACTTAAATCGGTCAATTTTCTACTTTTCAATGTTTTATTAAATTAATAAATTTTTATTTTTTCAACTTTAGACATAATGATGAGTAAAGAACTTCCGTGCGATCCGTTTCAACATGGCTCATGCGTTAGAGAAAGTGTACGCAGTTTGCCTAAAGGACATTTTGAACAAATTCGACAAATGTTTGATTCAAAACAACGAATAAAACATCAAATGGCACAGCAAGGTTTGTATTCGTTTTTTTTTGCATCATCTCTTAACGAGCAATACAATATTGACTCAACATATTGTTGAAAATTACTGTTAAACTTTTAATTTTTTCTTATTTCAGAAAATTCAATAAAAAATACTATCAATATAAATGTACAATCTGATCAATCATCGTCTCATCGTTTACAAAATTCTTTTTCATCTGCTGATAAACGAAGAAAAGTTTCTTTATCTTCGTCGTTCGCATCCGTCCCAGAAGAGCCAGTCTCTATTGATCCTCTAAAATCTAAACAAAATAACGTACTAAATTTACCCGTAACTGATGATGAAAAATTAAAACAGACTAATTGTGTTTTATCATCGTCATCTAATACAACAAATATCGATGATTTAGAAATATCTGAAAGTGATAAACGAACAATTGAAGAGAGATATCGTGATTATCTATATGAATATAAAAAATTTCGAATTAAACTTGCTCATGAACTACTACAACACAATCAAAAATTTCCTGCAAAAAAAATGAAACCATTATCTCCAATACAATCAAGACTAAAACAGTCAATATCTTCACTAACAGATTGTTCAAAACAATTATCAAAAGATGAAAATAAACATGATGAAAAAAGAATAAAACGTGAAAATAATAATGAACAACAACAACAATATTCAACAATAAAAGTAGAATATGGTAAGTTTTAATTTATATTTGATATATTTTGTTATCCATTTTGATTACTCAAAAATTCTTACCTACGCAACTATTTAACTTATCTTAAGCAAACAAGTATCCTACACAAAGACAAAAATTACGTTTAAGTAACTGACTCATTCGCAGATTACAATTGCTCTTATCTTTTACAATTAAGACAATATTCTGTAAACTAGATAGATTTCATCTATTTAGCTTATAGAGTATTAAAATTGTAAAATAAGCAAAAAGGATCACAAGTGTAAAAAAAACGTTTTTTATTTTCGAACTGTATCTATCATACAGAATTTTGTAAAAATCTGAAACAATAGATTTTTATTCTTCGTTATATTCAAGAGTTGAAAAACAAAATTCATTTCTAAATTCATTTTTATTTTCAACTTTCAAAGTTATCAAAAACTTTTTTTAATTTAAATTTAGCTAAATTTATCAATGATCGAATAGAAATATTTGTCTAAAATATTTTTAAATATTTAGAGCCAGATCTAGTAACGTTTTCTCTAAAATAGGAATAGAAAAATTTTATTTTTAATCTCAAATTCTAAAATTGAATATTATAATTTACAAAGTTAATATTATGTGAACAAACTGTCAAAGAGTTTTCTAACTTAATTTTCAAATTTCTGACTAACAAAATTAAGTCTACGCTTACCAATATATGAACATTGAATATATTTAATATTTAAAAGAATTTTTTCCTACCAAACCATATTGGTGAATTACTGTGCACTATAATATCTCTTGCTTTCAATAAAATCCCAGCTGAAGTGATAGAATCCACAGAGTTAAAACCAAATATCTACCAACTTTTCAATAAAATAAAAAAGAAGAAAAGAAAGTAGAAATATACCTCAGTGGGTATATATGAAGGTCAAAGAAATTCGAGAACGGCATGTGTGTGTTTTTCTAAGTCATAAAAAAAAAAAAATAAAAAAAACAGGTAAAATACTCGCTAAGATAAGGACCAGAAGAAGAGTGTTGTTTTTTTTTAACTTCCAAAAATCTAATTAGAACGGTTAGAATGATTGTTGTTTTTTATCACAGCATCCTACGCTCTATGTATTTTTTTTTTGTTTTGTTTTATATGCGTTAGTCATTTAGTAACAAACGGTAGTAGCATTAAAATGCCATAGATATAGAAGCAGTCTGCATTTTATTAAATACCTATATAATGGTTTTATTATTCCAATACTAAAAAAAGAAGAAGTGCGTACATACTATCAAACATGCTTTTGATCCTAAAAATTGAGAAAAAGGTAAATAAATTGCATCTGTAATCATAGTGAGAAGGTAGACACCTTCAATCAAAGACATAATATCTCAAATAAAATTTTATGAAGTTCTTCTAGACTATCAAAAGTATATTCATTTTATCATTAATTTTTTAGACGATTTGAACACCATTCCAATTTTATTACCATCTACATCGACGAATAAAAAGCTTGACAGTAGTCATATAGTGTTAAAAAATAGTAAATCATTACCTACAAACTCTACAAGTAGTGAATTATTTAAAGAACACAAAATTCCAATTTATTATACATCATTAGAAGTTGGAAACATTACCAAAGACTCTATGCAAGATTCATCTTCTCTTGAAAAACAGAAAAGTGGTTATCTCTCATTTTATCAGGACAGTAGTCGTCTAGTAGAAGACAATAATATTAAGCCTATGGCATCTACTCGTCAATTTGTCTCGACTATATCACGATCAAAATCAACTTTGAATAGTGGCGGTAGTGATGATTCTTCTTCTCACATTGATTTTTCACCATTAAATAAATATGAGCCAAAAGCGTCGACAGTAATGTTACATGTTAAACCCGTTTTAGTTACAAAACGTCAAATGACGCCACCACCCCTGTTGCCAACAACTACAAACGGTAATATATATGATATTGTTCAATCGAACGAAGATTATCCTGATGGAGACTATATGGCAATGAAAAATGATTCATCATTAAGATCTATAAATAGTAATTCGAGATTATATTCGTCGACATCATTATCGGCTGAGTCAACGAGTTATGATTCAAATTCATCGCCAGCCCCATCTATTAAATCAAAATATTCAAATAGTTTTTATAATGGAATTGATAATTCAGCGTCATTGAGTTCAAGTTCAAGCGACGAAAGAACAAAAGCAAATAAATGGGTAAGAAATTATTCTATTCTAATTTATTAAGTAAACTTATGTGATTATATAATCACTTGCAATTTAATCGACAGTATTTTTTTCTAAGAATGCTTTAGTTAATAGTGGAATAAGATCCTTGTAAAACATCATTTTGAAAGGATACACTATCGAAAGTATGATAATTCTTATTAGGCAAGATAAACAGTGAGAAAGTATATTTCTGGCCTATTACTGAGTATTCAGATATTGCGCTGCAGAAAACATGAAAACTGCAAAATAATCAGAAAAAATAGTCGTCACTCTTATGTTTTACATATCAAACACTATAGATTGTTTTTGCATCATATTTTTTTTATTGTAGTTATTACCAGAACAAAAACAAGATCTATTAAATCCTTCAAAGATCCAGTCAACATGTTACAGTCAATGTTATGATACTCTTCAAATAAAAGATATCAACGATGAAGTATTCTATGATCATCCACTAAATAGAACTATAATGAAAGTTTCGAATTCGAATTTGCCGCCAAAATCACCTCTTCGATCAAGAAATACACGACCATCTCAACAAGATATTTCATCGATGTCATCCACATCTTCGATCATTAGTGGAACAGGAACAGCGATTCGTGATCGAATATCAATGTTAGAGAATTTAGCAACAACGTCAACGAAAAGTGGACGAAGGAATTCGTCATCACATGGAGAACAATTTAGACAAATGAAGGCACAAACAACGCGTAAGTGTAACGTAAAGTTATTCAAAAACTTTATGCATTATTTTATGATTAAATTGTCAATTGTGGTAGGAATCTTAGTTAAGTTTCAAGTAGGAAACAAGAACAGAATACTAGTTTCTTAATTTCTTATTTATATATTTTAGTTCGAAAACCATCATTCGAAATTCCTACCACATCTTACGTCGTTCAGACCACAATATTTCCCGTTTCTTGTTCTCCTGCTTCAGAAGTAATTCCCACTGGTGTGGGTTTAACAAGTAGAATTATTGATCAACAGCAACAGCAACAACAACAATCAAACAAGAACTCACAGGGAAATAATTCTCATGGGGAACGTCTTGAAATTTCCACTCCCCTAGCCATCAGTACACTCGATCGCAATTTGTCAAAGAAAAAACAACTTTCATCAACAAGTTCAACAGGTTTCATCTATGATTCGTCGTCTCACACGCTTAGCAATAGCGTTAATGATTTGTGTACGCTAGTGGTGGAACCAAAAATTTATGATATCCGAAATAGTTTTACTGCATCAAAAAAGGTTGAAGATTATGCTCAGAAGCCATTACCAGTTGTGTCAAATCCTGTTTATCAACCACCTTCATTACCTCCGCAAGCACCTAAAAAACCCCCGAGAACATTTGAACAAAATCACTATGAAAAATTGTCAGGAATCGTTGGAAAAACACAACTAGCCTCGTCATTATCTTCGAATTCGTCCAATTCGTCCACAGCAAGTGATTCACCCACATTCGATTTAGGTAAGTGTCGCACTTATTCTAATTACTACGTTTGGTCCTTGATATATTAGGTGAGGAAGAATGATGCTATTTTTACGTGATTAATCTTTGCAACACATTTGATTAGTGACGAACGTGCAGGTGGTAGCTTTCAGATATGTTTTTGATAGCTTCAGGCATAGATCAATAAAGTATTATATATGACATTGACATCAACAGTACGTATAAGGTACTATACCGATTCATCAATGTTAAACATTTTTATCATTTTAAAACAAATTACGTCAGGGAGGAGAAAGTAAAGATATTGTATAAAAGCGCACATTCTTGACTCATAACATTCTATCCGATTAAAACAGAATGTTTAGGTGAATACGTGACTTACGGTATATGTATACCGTAAGTCACATATTCACCATTGTATTGAGTATCCATCTTTAAATTTAAGTATGAATATATGTTTTCAAGTTTGAAACTTTTTAGCAGTATAACCTTTGATTAGAAGTATGTTTCTTTGAAAACTGATTAAGAATTCATCTCTAGAGTAGTGCACAATATCAACCGCAATAGTTTGGGGACTGCACTTTTGTTTTTTGTTTAGGTGCTCGTTCAATCAGTTGTATGGATTTAACAGCTGGCGTCTCGAATGTACTCACCTCCACCGGTCCTGCATCATTTTTAAACTCTGCAAAATTGGAAAATACTTATGAGTTAAAAACTCCTCTCTCAACCACATCAAAGAAGAAGAAAGATTTTTTCAATGAAAAAGACGATGACGTTGTATTTCGTTCAAAGACCAAACAGCCTTCTAAGATAATCACAAAAACGACTAAAAGTGGTATCATGAAAAAGGGCATTAGCGAACCAAATTTAGCTATATCAAAACAGAGTAAAGGCACACTATTTTCACCTCGTAATCTCTTCGATCGTTTCAAACGAATAGTATCTCTATCGAAGACATCTCTGAATACTCCGGAAACACCACAAATCGGACAAGATGGAGATAGCGATGATTCTATTTCAACCACCGATAATTTAGATGAAATTCGTTCGTCGCGTTTAGATCATGTTAGTCGAATTAAAAATTTTTATGATTCATTGGGTGGTGGACATACTAATAGTCTCTACGTTGGAGGAGGTAGCGAACATCTGAGAGAACAGATCACTACACTCTATGATTATGTTGTTTTAATAATACCAGAATTTGGATATTTCGAAAATGGAAACGGAGTGGCATTAACAAATAATGGGTAATAATCTAAGACTAAAAAGGACTGTGTGAACTTGATTAGAACCGACATCATCTACCATAACGATATACGGGTATCAGGGGGACCATTTCACGTAACTTTAGTACCGGAACGTGAGTACGTTACCGTTTTCTGCTGTTATCGGTTGTGTTATAATATTTGAAGAGAACATTGTGAAAATTCTTGTTTTGTAACTGAAAGGGTGTCCTTCACAGTCTGTTCTGGGATTAATTTGAATCACTCGACCTCCTTTGTGTTACAATCTGATTATCAGTGTCCCTGAAAAAAACGAATCTTAATTTTGAGCGTACCACATTTTAACCCTTTACGATCCAATGTCTACTGGGATGGATATTAATGGAGATATCTCTATAGCAAGGTAACGGCGCGTTGAATCAAAAACGGATTTTTCAAGTGTAAGCTAATGCTATAAGCTAGCGATTGCTAATAACAAACTTTTTTCCCATCACCTCTAAACAAAGGTATACGAGTTTCAAGTTCGCTTTTAATCAGCTGTGCGGATGTAAAGCGTTAATTATAATGTAAAGAGACTTGAGTGATTCAAATTAATCTCAGAACGAATTGTGAAGAACACACTTTCAGTTACAAAACAAGATGCTTCTCAAATTTTCACAATGTTCCCTTCAAATATTATAACACAACCAATAACAACAGAAAACGGTAACGTACTCGCGTTCTGTACCAGAGTTATTTAGAATGCCCAGAAGAGTTATGACTATGTTTACATACGTACCAACTTGTGTAGAGCATTATAGATGTTCAGTGCATCTATGTTTTACCCAGTGTAGGTAGAGCCAGGGCTGAACAAACAGCTACCCTGAACATCTCTGGAGAGCATTAACGACAGCGTATTTGAAACAAAAAAAAATACCAGTACAGTTCTTAAGCCTTTTCAAAAATACCGTTTTTCTTCAGATGTGTCGGTATTGACATTAACATATTGCTGGTCAGCTCAGAGCTTTCTGTTTTGAACGAAGTACTTTTGGTAGCTCCATAGTAGGTTTTTGACGGTTTACCAGCAACTTTCCAGAAGCTCTGAAAGATTCGGATTCTTTATCATCCGTTACACTGTTGAATTTGAGATCCAGTAAACAATCATGAGGCTTACATCTTGCGAAGCACACATTCCTGATCAAAATAAGCTGTCCTGCGACTCTACAAGATGTTTCCATCAGAAGTTATAACTTTTACTAAACGTCCTAAAAAAACCATACACTGGCGCTATCATATCCCAAAATCAATTGTCACTTTACATGGTTCGGGACTTCCAAAAAGTTTCGTCCAGAAAGGTCTCGCTCGTTGCTCGGCTTGGTCTTAAATTGAAGCTACCACTTGTGAATATCGCATGACAGAGCCTGAGCTTTTCTTCTTAACTTTGGTTCTGTACAGCAAAGGTTTTATAGAAAACGTCAGTTAGGTTTTTGGATTTTATCACTTTTACTAGCTACTAAAAACTTTTTTCGCAAAATTACAAAAACTCGGCTCTATCAATCTCTAGCTACAAGTGTTTTCGCTATTTTAAAACCATGTCCAGCTATCGTCTGCCTGGGACTTAACCACTAGGAAAATAACCCATTTTTTTTATGAAGAATTTGAGGGAGTTTTTCTATTTCAGTAGAGATACATGTTCAACTATAAAACATTAAATGCATACATTTACAAATGCCTATAAAGTAAAGTTTCTATCATACATTCTCTCTGCTATGAAAATAATGATAAATACACTTGTATGAGCACATATGAAATACTTGATATCGATTCCAATTCTGAAAACTAGAATTGGTGCATATCTAGTTATAATTATGTATCATAGTTATTATTAATATTAGTGTCATTTTTTTTTGTTTAGTTCCTCTCATTCTTCATCGTCCTGTGTTAAATTCAAATATCCAATTGACGCTAAAGATGAGCCAACGTTAGGCCACTTTTGTTTTCCTGAATGGGACTCTAATTCTACGTCGTATACATCGCCTCTAATTACACGTCTCGATCAAAACAATAACAACTTCACGAGTAGTCCACTACTGACAAAAAAAAAATTTTCTCCCGAATATTTCCGTTTTACTCTCACGGATATGTTTGGTCAACGTCAACATGGGTATTGTTCACGATTTTTGCATAAAGGCACTGTGAATGCACTGTGTATCATGTCTCCCTATGATATGCTCGAGTTTTATTTTCATATATTATCGCACGCAACTGATTATTTTTTATCGTATAAAGATGAGGACGCACGAAAATTTCTCAAAGAAATTTATCCACATAAGACTCCGACACGTGGTGATTCGATTAGTATTCAAACACAAACATCAGGATTATTTACACTTAAATGCGAATATGATCGGCGAAAAGAATTGATTGATTCACAAGGTTTATTAAATTTATCAACGGGTAAGTACGTAGATGACTTGATCGTTCCTTATAGCAGAACTCAGCGAATGAGATAAATTCTTTCGCATTCACTCCATTCTAAAACGCTCGTGTGTTTATAATCAATTTCACTGATGGGCAGAAATCGACGTTTAGCGATATCTACTGAGAACTTCTTTTGCAAAATATCTGTATAATATTTACAGCGGTAAATTGGTTCGTTTCTGTTTCAGATACCATCATCAAAATCTTTTCAGCAATTTTATATGAACAAAAATTGATTTTTATCAGTAGTGAATTAAGTATATTAACGAAACTGATCAATACCTTCATTTGTCTTTTATACCCATTTTCATGGCCACATACGTACGTACCCATATTACCTCGTTTAATGTTAGACATCTGTCAAGCACCAACGCCTTACATCGTTGGTATTCTACGTTCATGCGAATATTATTTAAATTTAAATCAAGAATTATGTAATCAAGATATTTTAATTATCGATCTTGACAACGATAAAGTTAGAACTGTTGATGAGTATGCAACAAATATAAATAACGGTACAATGTCATCACAGACAGGTAAACTCTACTAATCACAGCTACACATATTTAATTCTGTTGCGAACTGTATGATTTATGTATTTTTATATCGCTAACGTTATTTTCTATTTAGACGTGGATCAATTGCTCAAGTCAACACGCACGTCAACGGAAAATTTATCGCATTTTCAACATCAAATTTTACCAAAAATGTTTAAAATTGATTTAAAAAGTGAATTACAACAATTACGAAAATTAAAGCAGACAATATCGCTAGATGAATGTCAAATGCGTATTCGTCAATGTTTCATGTCCATATTTGTACGATCATGTTATAATTATAAAGATTATCTAACGACAACCTCAACTTCAAACTATCTGACAAATACAACCACTTCTCAGTCAGCTATATTCAATTTTGACGGATTTATACAATCGAAAAAGCAACAACAATCCAGTCAATTATTTTTAGGTAAGTCATACTATACCTAAGTTGTTATAAGGGATTTGACCTTCTCCATAAAACTCTTCTTTTACTAATAACAAGCAATGATGAAACATTTTTCTTGTTTTTTGTTTCTTCTTCATGACAGAGTGAAACTGACATACAGTCTGAGAATTTTAGTAATATCCGTTTGTCTTTTTCTAGAATGGTTTACTCGTACCCAATTATTTGAAGTGTTTATCCGTGAAAAGTTTGATTTTGTCCAAGATAATAAATTATATGCTGTTACGTTTGATGAATCCTGTCTGGAGTATTCTCGACATTTGAAAACTCAACAACAACTCCAAACAAAACAAAAACCAAAAGTAACAGTTAAATCGGTAAAACGAAAAGCAAATCAGAAATCACATAATACTAACAATATTACAACAAAAAAATTATAACATGTTTCTACATACAAGCATTTTGTCGAACATGTGCATCATCTTCATGCATCGTAGAAGAAGCTTAAATTTATAGAAATCTATTCTTCTCATTTAGTTAGTAAAAGAGGACAAAAGCTGGAGCCAGTTTTATAAAAGAACTTAAGTCAAAAATTGAACTTACGTCATAAAAGACAAAGAACTTTTTGGACTTAAGCTTTTCTATAAAACTGGCTCCTGTTCTTAATGTTCCACCGTTAACATCTATTAAGTAGTAGAACATGATCATAAGAAAATGTTTAGTAAGTTTTGTAATTAATTTCTGAGATTGAGAAACTTGTTGCAAATGCAGTACAACTTCACTCATGATTCTTTATGTCTCCGTCTCAGTGAGAATGTCTAAGTATCACAATGGCGATTTTGATTTTTAAAGTCAGATATTAATAAGCAGATCAATGCTCCTTTTTCTGTGTATATATTTTTTTTCTCTACGTATTATTCACTTCTCGTTCGTCTTACGTTCAACTTTACTTTATTCGTAGAAAAACAAAGAAAACTAGTCATCCTGATGGGGACTATCGCTACAGAAACTATATTATCTCTATTTTTTTGGTAATATCGCTTACAAGTATTGTTCTTGGTTTTATATTTGTAAGAAAATTTAAAAATTAGCGTTTTGTCTATACATTTTTTTTCACATATTCGATGTAACAGTTAACACTTCATGCATTATTCTCTTTTTTTTTCACTCTTGATTTTTGCATTATTTATATTGCTGCGTTGTTTTTTTCACAAACGAAAATAAAGTTGCTTTTATCTTCCACTCAGATGTGATGAAACCAAAATATTCATGAACGCGTGTAGTGATGTCAAAGTTGAACTACTCGTAGGAGATCTGAGCATAAAGGAACTCCATTTCTCTTGCTAGAGATGTTTTGACTAGATGTCAGGATAATTCTGTGTCTAACAACAGTTACAATGCATTTTCGTTGTCTGGATTAGGAGTATATGATTTATCCGTGGCTTGTGGGTGACTAGGTGTCTTGTCCGTACCAATTGCATTATGCGTTTCTGATGTCTATCAAATGCATCTAAGCCATTTTTTTCCAAAAAAAGAGCGACTTAGAGGTGTTTTTTTTTGAAGACATTAAGGTGCCCAACAGTTAAAGATGAGAAAATGCACCTGACGCGCCTGCAGGACGCACTGTGGTCGCATTTTGAAGTCAGCTAAGTGGTTTCTCAAGACACTTTTTTGACAGTGTATTAGGCGTGGATCAATTGCTCAAGTCAACACACACATCAACATAAAATTTATCGCATTGTCAACATCAAACTTTACCAAAAATGTTTAAAATTGATTTCAAAAGTGAATTACAATAATTAACAAAATTACAACAGGCAATATCGGTAGATGAATGTCAGATGTGAACTTGTTTTTTACAGCAGTTTTGCACTTTTATTATTTCTTGAAATAATGTTTGTTTTTTATTTCATAATTAATCTAGTTTACTTTTTCTTTGTCCAATCATCATGTAGATTTTTCTATTCAGTTAATATTTCAAAGTGCTTCGTAAATAAATAATGTACTTAACCAAGTTTTGGCCCTATCCTTGTTCTTATTTTTCATGTACGCGTTCATACTATTATCGAGTTTTTTAGGACATTTCGATTTTTGTTCAATTAACACAGCGTCTCAAACCTTAGAATCACCTTCTATACTTGGTAGAGAAATGAGTTGGGAATCGTTTGAGAAAAAATGAGCTCTGTGAGTGCACAGGGTGAGGCGAAAAAGTGAAAAGAAAAACTATATTATTGTTTCTGTAACACCGGTTGCGTTTGAAATAATATCTACAGCGCCTGTGAAACAATCCTCAGCGTAAACTGATTGTTTTTACGAGGGATCATAATGCACCGAGATTAAAATATTGGTTTTCGCATGAAGGTTGTGTTGTTGTGTTTGAAAATACTTCTATTATTACTGACATGGCGATTAAACAAGAACTAACTCTTCGTTATAAGACATCAATTTTTATACGTATTTCGTTGATATCATACCACTTATTGAAAAAGTTTGTATGATTTATAGTTGGGTACATACAGCTCAATGATATTTTGATCATTCCTACTGTTTAAAAGCATGTAAAAACATATAATATCTTTCGCATGCTTATCAGTTCTTTTATTATGCATCTTTGATAAAAACTTCAAGTCAGTGTGAAATTTCCTTTTGCGATGTAGGCAAAAAAGAGAGGGTGATGTATCCTTAACACAAGCGAACGTTTTTTTATCACACTAGTGACTATGGACTACGAGTCATACTAACCTCGATCGTCATATGAACAAAGTGATGAAATGCTCAAATGTCAGATATGTGAGATAACTATCCCGGGAAGGGATACGCAGGATTTAGCTGGGATAATGTGGAACGCATCGTTAACCAACATCTCACGTTAATACTGAAATAACCATAACAGGAAGATTTTGAAAATACACAAGGTTAGCTGTCTGCATAAAATCGGTTTTTCACAAAATCCGGACTTTAATCTGCTATGGAATCGACCGGTTTTTTACCGGTTGAACTCCAAAACTGAACCGGCCGGTTTGTTACCGGTTGAACTGCGCATTAAACCGGCCGGTAAACTGGCTGGTTCGGGTTTTTCGAAAAGCTGAACCGGCCGGTCCGCTCCGGTTAGGAAAAATTCAACCGGTTCTAACTCTGCTGCTTACTGCATAATGGTTGCATTACTACAGGTGCATTTTCTCACCTTCTAATAAGCTGCTTTCGTTATTTTTCGATTTTCCATAATGTAATTTGTTTTCAAAATGGGATACGTTTAGAATTAAAATCGATAAGAATCTGTTAGGATCTTAATAGTAAGAAGAACGACGTTTTTTTAATAATAATCATTCAAGATTCGCTGAGAATTTTTGAATTTTAATCTGCATTATCCAGAGCAGTATTTGAACAGTGTTGAAGAATGAAGAGAAATTCCATACTTTCGGGTGTCCAACCATGAATCTTGACCTGCATGTACACTCTCTAAAAGGTTGTTGAACACTTTCGAGAGCGCAAACACTAGCAGAATCTCGAAGAAAAATAACCGTAAAATCACTCATATTTTCAGTGGCCCTTATATAGATGAATGCAAGCAAAACAAAGGGGTGAATGAAAGTAGAGTCGTTAAATCTTATTATGATCTTAAACGGTAAAGTCTTAGATTATCTCATTAAAGTCCTTGAAATGGGACATATGTCGGATAATTTGGTGGTATCTTGCGTAGTTTTCACGATTCTCAGATGATTCCTTCTGCATTCGATAGAGGAGATGTTTATGTAAGCCATAAACATTAGATTTTATAAAAATTGTCCGTCTCTAGTTATCATAATTAATTTTAAGTTCAATTTAGTCCATAAAATATATTCAAATTAATATCCCATATAGTGTGAAGCCAATATGATAGCTTCGTCTTTCACGTTCTACTGAACGTAGTTGCCATTAGACTCAATTACTCCACGAAGCGAAAATTTTTCATTAAAATGTTATCCAAGATGAATTACGTTTTATTAAAAGTTTTACTGAAAATCCCGAATCATCGAACACGCAGGAAGTTTCTTTAATATTTTAATGAAAAATTTTCGCTTCGTGAAGTAATTGAGTCTAATGGCAACCGCGTTCAGTAGAACGTGAAAAACGATTGTTTCCCTGCGAATCGACGACATTGGTAATTATTTTTTCATAATAGCAACCTCTGCTGAATCTTCATTATTTAACCAAAGACGATGATTTTATCGACTGTCACATTATAAAAGAGAAAGCTTCATATCACGTCGAACACAAAGAGATGTCGTTATCAACTCAACCATATCCATCACTAGTGTTAGCTCAAGAAATATTAACACGTTATGGATATTCATTTATGGTTGTTTTTGGCACTGTGGGTAATCTGCTTAATATTCTTTTCTTTCTCAGAAAAACATTACGTACAACATCTTGTAATAACTGTAAGTAGAAAACATTGAGACATCTTGCATAACTAAATGATTGCATTCTGCTTTATAGACTTTTGCGCTTCGGCATTCACTAACTTGGTAGCACTCAATGTAGGCATCATACCATTACTCTACACGTATGATCGACCATGGGCAATAACACCAATACATTGCAAGATGCGATATTATGTGCAGGGTTCATGTCTGCAAATGTCTCGCTTTTTTATTGTCGCTGCATGTTTCGATCAATTTGCTCTTTGTTCAACAAATATCCGTCTTCGACAATTCTGTCGTGTGCATATTGCTCGTCGCTATATGATTCCATCCATCATTCTTATCTGGCCCATCACTCTACTCCATATACCTATCTTTTATACTGTAAAAAACCATGCTTGTGCCCTTTCGGAAGTAATATTGCTCTACACTGGTATCTATGGTATTGTTTTGACTGGTTTGTTACCACCTGGTTTGATGCTTCTTTTCTCTATACTGACATATCATAATCTGCAATTGAAACAACAACGTCGACAAGTTCATCCACTTGTAACTGTGAACACTCGTTCAACCACAAATAAAAACAAACAAGTCTTGGCAATGTTACTCATACAAGTCATTGTTTATGTTAGCACAACTACTATCTATTTTATTAATTTATTCTACTCTGTTTTAACAATAAATAATGCAATGAATAAATCGAATGAACAGAAATCGATCGAAGCATTTATTACATTCATAGCTACAATGTTGAATTTTGTCTCTCCTTGTTTATCATTCTATTTATTTCTCCTTGTCTCACGTCTTTATCGAAAAGAAATGAAATTGGTTGGATTGCATGTCTATAGTCAATGCTGTTTACTGTGCACAGTCAATAATAATAATAATAATAATAATAATAGTACTGCAACACGTAACAGAACTGCACAAGTTGAATTTATCCAACGACCAAGTGTGATACCACTTCGTGTTATAGCTAACTAAGAGTACTATGTATTATATATATTTATTCTTCGTCTATCAAACTCTCTATTTTA